GACTCAATGGTCGTCCCATTTTATCTTTCAAAGAGTGATTGCAGCTCTTTTGCCTTCACTCTCTAAGACAAGATATAGATAACCAACATAGATGATCTATGTTGAATGATCGGAGGACTCGATGACCTGTTCAATATTCAGTAACCCAACTGCCAGATCACTTTGCTAGGGCCCAGTGACATCTCACTGGCCCTGCAATACTCCCCCGCCAGATTCATCGGCCTTTTTAATCGGTACCAAACATTTTGAGAGTAGTTGCGCGCTGAAGATTGCCAAACAATTAATGATGGTGATGATAAACGGTGATTATTGCATGTTTGTTCACCAAGTGAGCTGGAGAATATCGCGACGAAAATAGGAAACCAAGGGTATCACTCTGAACTCGTGTCAATCATACTCGTGAAAAGCGTTGTCAGTGTTGGAATTGGGGTCACAATGTCGTTTTTATTTTGCAGGAGATTCACTCGACTGAGTGAACTGATGATTCGTGCGATTGATAATGTCGTCAGACCACCAATGGAATTGGATAAGTTTTAAATTGCCGAGTAGTTGAACAGCCGATTGATGTGCCGAAATCCTCTTTTAGATGACAACCACGAGAAAACAATGCTTCGTAAAATGAAGTACGACATCGAAGTTTCAATGTATTATAACGTCACATCGAAATAACATCGTTCTTATGTATATCGACAGTTGCAGTGAACTTTCTATTGGGTATTATTAGTATAATAGTTGGACGTGTGAATAAAATCATGTACGAAGACTATGAAGGGGTTCGCGGAGAATTTCGGAGGTCTTTTAAACATTCCCCAAACTTGCATTCCATGTAAATAAACCAAAAACGGAATTAAAATGACTTTGGCTTAATAATGAGGTCGCGTTTTGATTGACTGTGTGATACAACAGCAAATACAAAGCATATAAAAACATTAGTAAAAATGGTAACCATTAGTGCAACTAAAGTTTAATGGGTTCTGACCGTGCTATTAATTTCTCAGAAACACGATTTTGTTTTTTATAATTGAAGAGAATATTGTGTTGTCATGATGTTTTCTGGGTTATTTAATAGATGCTGAATCACCCTTAAGAGTGGACGCAATCCAGTTTATGATCAACTTCATAAGAGTCGTCAGATAATGATTAATTATTAATTAAAAGAAGTGGGTTTACCTACAGCTACACATCACCTTTACAATTCATGCAAGCTGCGTTCCTCGTTAAGTGCTATCTGATTTATTAGTTTTTGGTGATGATATGAAGCTCTGGAGAGAATTTTACACCCAAATGGGTAATTTGACGCTTCAGGAGGATCTGAATAAGGAAGGAAGTCAGCGGACTTGCCTTCAACATTTCAAAGTATAACGTGGTCCATCTGAGACATGTGGAAGACTATAAATGCAGCACAGAACGTTTTTCAGTTGAAAACGATCCTGATGTGTTGGCACATTACACTCTGAAGTCCTACGCTAACTGTGAAAAAATGCTTTTTCAGCAAAGCTTGCACTGTTAATGTCGAAACGCATTTTTCGCAGGTTAGACGGATCAATTTTAGACAAAATCTTCAACAGTTTTATTCGTCTTCATTTAGAGTACGTAAATATAGTATTTCCCCTCTCACCTTAAAAGGACAAGTGCACACTGGAACGTATGCAATAGCGATTCACGAAATCAGTTCACACACTCATATTTAAACCTTATGAGGAAAGCCTCAGATTAGTGAATCCTTGCCTGATAAAGAGCAGGCGTTGAAAAGGTTATCACCTGATGACTTAAAGCATCCAACAAACTCCTAGCCATCCTCACAGACATTTAATTAAGCTCAATCCCAGGACAAACATTAGGGTAAATCCCATAAATTAGAGACATCACATGGAAAAATGGACAACAGGAACATATTTTTGTTTTCAGGAGTAATCAAATGCTGTGGTTCGAAGCCGATTGAGGTAGGTCAAGCAACATTTCAAGAGACCTTGAAGATTAAACTTCACAAGGGCTAAGGACATTATAGTACTATAGTTTCAGATTTGCATTCAAATTCATTTTGTATGAATGGAGTACCTATACCATGTGCTTTTTCTTTTCTAGTAAGCTTCTGTGTCTAGCATCCTTTTAAAGGGTCAACTGAAGGTGAGGACACCATGGTTTTGGGTAACAAGTTCCAGGGATTGAAGATGGTGTGAAAACACGTATGCCACTGTTATTATTACCGTTCTTGGCCTTTCTACTCTCATATTATGTCCCCTGAAATATCTTGATCTGATAGGAAGAAAAAGAGGGGAAGAATTACGTCGAAAATCATTTTTTAGTACTTTTTACGTCAAAATCATATCACCTTCTAATCTGTGAGATAAGCATTTAGCGTCTTTTGAACAAGCTGGTCGGAACATCTTAGTCCCCCCGATGTGCACATGATTCTGCATCTCCTGTTCTTTCTCTCCAGCGTATAGTACGATTGTGATATCAACTATACTTGTTGTAAGACCCATTTTTAAGGTTTTGTGTGTTGGTGAAAATCCCTCCATGTATATACTTGTACTTTGTTCCTATTGATCTCCTTAGTTGTACATTGTTGTATTTTGATTACATTTGGATTGTTAATACTTGTATTTTTTTATTATAGTTTTTGTTCTTCTTACGCATTCACTAAGTTTGTGTTTCTTCCTGAACTGCATCTGTGTTGTTTTACTTGACACTTGTTCTTGGCAGTAGCCATATTGATTTGCGCCTCCTTTTGTGTGTTCTATCCAGTCAGGATAGAATAACGTTCATTTGTTGTGACTGATTTGATTGATTGAACAATTATTGGTTGAATAGCTGGGTGGTAATATTTGTATAGAACCGCTATTTATCTGATTACTCGTTTTGATTTCGACGGGAAAGGACGCGTGTCAAAATCCCCGGTCGGCTATTCTTCTATCCAAACCGTAGTTTGGATTCTACACTTGTGTCTTAATTTACATACATTATAAACAACTGAGGACCAAGGACGGCTTGCGGTACTCTATCGAGTACTGGTTCCCAGGCGGAACACTTTGAATATCCCTTAATTTCCTTCTGCGACCTATCAAGAAACCTTTTAACCAATTTGGAAGAGGTCCGGCAATATATTAGATTTTCCAGCTTCAAATGTAATCTTTTAGCACCTCATCAAATACTTTGCTGAAGTCCATGTGGACAGCATCCACTGATTTTCCATTGTCTAAACCCTTGATCCATTGCTCCCTTGCTATAAGGGAATTTGTAGTGTAAGATAGATCTTTTCTGAAACGATATCGTTCACTGCTTAACAAGTTGTTGGTTTCCACTAATGTCATTATGGTCTTTTGACTATTCTTTCCAGTACTTTAACTACGACACTGGTGAGACTGAGAGGTCTGTAGTTTGATGGAAGTCGTCTTGATCCTGTTTTATGTATTGGAATGACAGTTGCATCCTACAGCCCGTAGTTAACTCGCTTTGGTTAAGTGACATGGAATATGATAGTCGGTGAGGCAGCAATGTATTGTGCAAATTGTCTCAAAATTTTAAGGTGTAGTTCATCTGGTTCAGTCGAGCTTTACGTGTCTGAAGTGTCAAGGGTCTTAAGTTCAGCGTCTCAACCGAAGTACATACTGAGCAAACGATTTTTCGACGTTGTATTTCGGTCCATTTCTTTGTCTAGAAGGGGCTCCTGAGTGAAAACTGACCCGAAATAGTTTTCCATATCCTCTACTTTACTCTGATCATCCTTCATCATTTGAGATCCACTTCCTTCCTCAGTCGCCTCAAGAATCAGCCGAGACTTAGTAGATCAGCACGCTTTGTACAGCAAACGTGATGGTGGTGTAGTGTGGCGTCGAGTCGCGGTTGGCTATGATTACCACTGCAGGAAGACTACGTGCAGGTTGACCGACAACATCCCCCGTAGGTCAAATATCAGAAGGCAGTTGATGGCATTGGTTGGCGATCTCGTGGTATCGAAAGAATACCGAGATCGTGCCAAAGGAGTACAAGTGTGGTTACTGAGCGTAACCGAATCCGTGCAAGGTCACAATCAAAGGTAGGAATAATGTTTGTAGTTTGGTGCAGTTAAACAAACAAGTACGGCAAAACAATCCCTGGTACAATTGGTTATAATAACAACTGTTTCCATTACAACAATCGCGTTCTCTTGATAAAAGCAAGTCACCACCGAGGCCCCTCGCTAGAAAGAAATAACACTTTCGTTATGTAGCTGTTTCGTTTGTGATGGGCAAATGTGCGATTATAGGACGAGGGGTTGGCAGAACAGGAAGCGATCGTTGATCCTGGAGTTGCCACAGAAGGTCTTTAACGTAAAACGGTACCATGAGAAACGTGCTGTATATGCTGCTCGAGTTGGCATGCCACACTAGAATGGTTTGTATTCAGGATCTAAAGACTGCGCCCGTAGAGGTCTGGACCAGAAAACGCTGCAGACGTAGGACGAAATCTCGTTGAGCCAAGGAACCAGAAACGACCATAACAACCAGGTTCGAGACCATACGCATGCCAAACATTCGATAACAAAATATCGACTGAGTGCGTTGACAAGAGCGTGGGTGATCAGGCCAGCCATCGCCAAGGTTGACTGAAGTCGACGGAAGGAATAATGTAAGTATTTTGGTGCAGTTAAACAAACAAGTACGGTAAAACCATCCCTGATACGATTGGTTATAATAATTGTTTCCATCACAATAATCGCATTCTATTGGTAAATGCAGGTCACTACAGTGGTTTGCAGCACTTTTTATATACAGCCGGTGTGAGTCCGGTGTGAGTACGGTGCACACGTTGTGATAGCACCTGTTATAATTGTCACATTGTATTCCATCCACGACCGTGAAGAAACACACGGGTCTATCACTACGACGTTTTTCATTGCTACTAATTACGGAAGCTCGTTAAGCGGAAGCTTCTTCTATTCTGTCCAGAACCTTTCGATACATGTGAATCATTTGGCCCGCGGTGGTCATTGGTCGCGGTACATGATGCCTTCTACGGTTGCTATCTCTCCGTCAGATACTGAAGGGGATGGGCGTTGGATGAGTCAAGTATTACCGTAGCCCTTACTTCTCACGTTTAGCAGCATACAAGGTTCGTTTGCCAGGCCCGAAAGAAAGAACCAGATGTTGTATTACTTGGTGACTCTATATTCGTTTACATGCAGTTTACACAGGCAAGCTTTAATTTTAATTTGATTCATTTCCGTAGACGTACAAAAAGCACATAGAGCCCTTACACTGTGTAAATTTTAGTATTGCCAATGATCAGACACAAAATGTATTGTGGAGAATCGAAAATGGAGAACTGGACGGCTTTTCGCCTAAGGTAGGGATTGTATATACGAGAACCTGAACTCTAAGGTGGTCGTAATCATGATTGGTAGTCACAACGTTGGCGATTCGGAAGAAGAGGTTGTTAAAGGGATCCTCTCCGTTGTTGAAAAGACAAAATCTAAGCAGCCTCGCGCTTCCTTAATAGTTATGGTCAGTACTGTTTTTCAGAATTTTGTGTCTTCAGTATCTTGGTAAAATGTCCTTTTTTGCTTTCAATATTTTTCCAGTAAAATTCACTGCTAGACAATAATGTACATATACACCGTAATACAAAGTGCTCTGTTTTTTGTCTTTAAAAATTGTGCAATTTCTTTTCTGTCTTTTTTTGCCATGTGTTTTTAAATCCTGAACAGGGACACAATAAGGATTGTTTATATATCAGGTGACTTTATTCGATTCAATGTTATCCACTATACCTTTAGTCCCAGACGGGAGAAATGTTAATATACTCCTTTGATGCATTAGCAATGACTTATATTTTCTCAGTTGTTGACAAGTATTTTCGGTACTATTTACACAGATGTTTTCTTTTATGAATAACGTCATTCGGCTAGTGTGTCCTGGTATTACAGACTAAGCGAATAGCACTAGTATGTTTGCAGCCTTATGATTTTCAACAACTCTCTGCTTAACTACTATTACTCTCGAATGTTTGCTTACATTCACCAGCAACACCATGAAGTTAATATGATGGCTGCACGGTGTTTTTAAACATAAAGGTGTTATCGTTTTTAAGTACTTATTCCTGTTGCTTAGACCCGACTAACGCATGAAGTTCCAGCGACTGCTTGATGAATACTATCTTCTAACGATTGTTGACCGTATCAACATATGAACCTTAGATGATTTAGTATCAATAATTAAGTTCATGGATATTAACCGGTCAGTGAGAAAACTCCATCTTCATTCTTAGTGAGACAAATGACAGTTTATAATTACAATATACTTGGTACTTACAGATGTTGCATAGCCTTCTAATAAGCAGGCTTCCAAACGTTACTTTCTTTTTTCACATAGTCTTTGATGTATTAATCAATCGTTTTGTCCTGTTATCTTCACTATTACCATATTGTCTTCCACTAAATAGTCTGATCATATTACGAAATTCGATTTGTTTCTTCTCAAGGGTCTTTTACCGTGTGGTCGAACTCCAAACAAAAGACGAACGAAGCATGAACAGATTAATAAACTCCTTACTGAAGCTTTCACCTGTCGACCTGATGTCACATACTTGAATCCTGACTGGGATAATTTTATCCAACAAGATGGAACTATTTCACATCGTGATATGTTCGATTATATGCATCCTACCGAAAATGGTTATGAAAAACTCTGCGACCCTTTACTAGAAGAACTTCAGAATTCTCTGCACACATTCTTAAAAACCAACGCACCCAATAGTTTTGTTGAAGATTCATAATTTCCAGGCTCCAGACATTTTGGTATTCTGTACAATATTATTCCTATTTCTGAGTAAATTCTTTGTTTATTTAATTTTGGATATAAATTATTGTGCTTCATGGCTTTTCATTTATAAACTTATTGGTGCATTATTATTTGGGTTTCATCTCTTTCTTATTCCCTTACTTGACTTAATTCATCGTTCACTTATAATAAAATTTTAACACAAGGTTTCCATAGCTCTATTTTCACTTGGTTACTTTGTTTATTGAATTTATTTTGTTATCCTGACGACTACCTTGTGTCATTTGATTCTCTTTACCACTTGCTGCGGGCTTTATCCAACTTATCAGTGACTAGTTTATTTATTTCGTATTTCAGACATTCTTTCATATACTTCAGTTGTATCATGATGGATCAACTCTTCAGTGATCAATTGTTTGGTGGAAATTATACCTAATACGGAATAAACTGTTTGGTTTTATATTTCAAACAAATTTTCTTATTGATAATTTTGACTAAAGCAATAAAAATGGACATAGCAGAACTTTAAGTTAAATAATGTAGATATTTGTAAGTCAAATATTCTTAAATAAAAACTAAGAGCATACGGACATAATTGTTTAGAAATAAAATGTTAGTACTGATGTTATGAATTCCTTATAAAGTAAAATCAAGGTGTGTAACAGTAGAGGTCACATAAAAAGTGCGAATTAATCTGTGTCATAGGAAGAAAAATTGCTTAACAAACATTTGTGAATGATATCACTATAGCAAAGCAAGATTGACAACTGAGTCTTTTTGGGTACATAAATTTGGTTTAAGTTTTTATACTGCAATTGATTCGGCTAAACGTGGTAAGTTCAACTTTGCCTACCACTTATCTTGGAAAGTTTGGGTAGTCAACACAGTGTCTACTGTCAAGTAAGTGGTATTCAATTAAACTGATGAGAATGTTCAGTTCTTTCAGTCTAAGCTTTTCTGGAATGCTCTCAGAGATGTAGACTCGAACCCTTTTCCTGTTCTTCTGATGTGCTTTGACATGTACATGTAGATTGGTAGTTCGGTTTTATATCCAGGTATAACAGTAATTAACCTTAGTCCGGGTTTTTAACATTCAGTTCGTAGCTGTTAAATTATCAGGATGTAGAGCATTGTACCATTAGAGTCACAAATAGCTTATAAACTAAATCGAACCCGGATACACTGTTTGGCCGTTTTTTTTGACATAGATTAGTTAAGATAAAAGGTTAGACAAAAATCAGTTCTTAGACGGATACTATGCATCAGACAGCTTGTTTGATAAGGCAAATAATAATAATTGGTTCTGATGTAATAGACTGATGATGTAGCCATACGTGGTGTTTATTATTTTGAGGCGTTGATAAACACTTTCATTGTATATATCTCAACTGGTTTTAGCTGCCTGTCTGCATTTGGACAGCATTCTGTTGTTTTATTTCGTGTGCAGCTTAGTACTGACCAATATTCTTCGGGCTGTTTAGTATGCAACAGTTTTTAAATAATAACCTCCGCTCAGAACAATAATTACATCCTACTTAAAAGATGCCAATCACTCCCACATACGTTAGAATTTTGTCCAAGGCAGTCAATCCACGAGGTACTCTGTGTGATACGTGACTGGTTTGGCAACTTTTAGTCATCGACTAGTTAAAATACTTCTGTATTTGGTTGTGGTTAGAGAAGAAGAAAAGGGTTAATTTAATGCCACTCAAACAAAATTACTTCACACTAAGTATCTTATCAGCTGGCGAAAGAAAGTACCAACCAATCTGTTAGCTATATTTGATTTATGTTTGACAAACAAAAAAGTAGGTATGTGTCAAAACTGTCAGCTGGAATGGCTAGTAGAAAATCATATCACATTGTAGATCAGATCGTAAGTTTATAGATTGCATGAATTGTACTGTCTCACATCCATATTTGGAGCCCAAATTTTTACGAGTTCATTCTAAAAACATATAAGATGTTCAGCAGGAAAAAGCCACCTAAAAACCGACTCAAGCATAATCCCCAATATATGGTATAGCGATCGAAATTGGACTTCTGTTAGTCGTGGAACTAAGTAACCCAAAACTAAACTCATTACCTACAGCTTCGCAGTGTAATCTAGACTGATTTATCGATTTCTGTGCTGTAAAATGGCATAAGGCAGGACTAGTGGTTCGATTTGTCTTACCGTGTCAATCGTCTGTGGGTAAAATCTCAACCAATACTAATCTTATTCATGGGTTAGTTTTGTCTCTATGATCTGACACACCCTCGAAAAGTTACCATGAATTAAGACGAAACATAATTTATGTTCTGTACATAATTAAATAGCTAAACAGGGTGGAAAATCAATGATTTCATAGTAGGACATTTGTATTCAGTTGATCGTAACGGTCATTTACTTGATCTAAACAAATGATATGTGTCAAAAGTCATCAGATACGAAAGCACAGAGTCCAACTCTTCAAACTCAGTTGTCTGAGATACCTGTATGTAGTTACGACGACGAGATTGGATAAGTAAAGTTGAATGAAGATAGGAATAATGACAGTTGTTAATTTATTGAAGTGGAAAAAAACGAGACGATAAGTTTAACACTTGTCGTGGAGTCTGCCCGTATAATTGATTTAAATAGCCCAGAGATTCTTCTAAAAGGCCTTTCGTAAGAAGAGAAATTAACAGCTGAAGCCTAAAACACATGGAAAAATCCAAGCAATATTAACAGAAGAGATGAAATAAAATCAGCTGTTTCATGGCAATTAATAAATAATGAGTAAATCTGAACTCTTTATTACATTCTACTTCATTTAATCCATCTCTTATTATTATGAACAACGATTACTTTTATTTGTTCCAATCCGAATATAAGATAAACAATCAGTTTGGTCAGTACAATAACGGATATTTGTTTACTTATGTTCATTTTACGGATGTTGCGACATGTTTGTCTTATATTATCTGTAAGAATTATCTGATTTCATCAAAAATCCCTAATCAGAGACGACATATAGTGAATGCGTATCTTTCACATCAGACCTACATACAAATTCATACAACTGTTGTTTTAACTCGATTTTTTCCTTGTTTCACAGCAAATGTCTCATAAATATTACAAAAAATCTCACTTTTAACATTGTTAACGTGATTACATTACTTGTTTCGTGTACAGTTAAACGTTGAGTCATGAATATATATTCGATAATTCTGGTGTTTACTTATATTTCCTTGAGAAATTCTAGACCAGGTTGCCTGGTGAAACAATGGATTTGCTTAGAGTTTTTAGCTGAAATTTTTACAAATATAGTTCTCCCTCTGTAAGTCTTGTCATTATTATCTTATAATTCGAGGCCTTAGGCAATCTTGTATTTTGTTTTATTTTTCGTAACACCTTCCGCGTGCATAAGTATATGTTTTAATAATTTAATATCTAGTAATATCGCTCAATAACTTAAAGGTAATTCGAAGACATCACTGGTATCAGATCAGCTTTCATCAAGATAGTAAATAACACAGATAATTGATTAGTCAGTTATCGTACCTAAATATAAAGGTTAACATCACTCATTGAAGACATGTTTATGGTTTTGTTTTCATAAGCAACTGATTGATCACTTATTACTTCTCTAGAAAAAAATCGGTCATAATCATGTTTTGCTATCACTGGTTAGAATTAAAAGAACTACAAATAATGCACAATGGAAATTCTCTCAAATGACCTATGAAATATGTAGAATGAAGAAATAAGCAACCAGTTATAAATTTCCGTTCTTAACTTTGAAAAACTTGCAATTTGGGACAAGGAAACTAGTTGACTATTAACTGAGCTTTCACAATTAAGTACTAACATTTTAGAACCAGTCTTGGAAATCTCATCTGTACTAATAACTACAAATATGTTCGATTTCTGTCAATCATTTGCCAGAAATTCTGTTAGCACTGAATGTTATCATACTACTGGTTGAAGAAGATTTTAGCCACATTCTTCCCATTTCGACTTTTAATCATATTGATTTACGACAGAATCCTTATGCGAATAGGACATGTTTTTATTCATAGGAGTAGTTGTTAATTGATTTACTCAGTTGATTTGAAGTAGATTTGCCTCTTAAGTAGATTATGGACAGGCCGTTGATTTTTCTGTCTAACATTTTTCTGAAGAACTTAACTTTTAGAGGTTTCTTCACTATTTTATATCCTATATAGCAAAATTTCTACGATTCTGTGTTTGAAATCGTGGTTGTCGGCATGCTATAAAATGGCGAATCATTTATACTTTTATCCAATTGTCAGCTTCTCCTTGTAAGTCCCTTCTGTTATGACCTTGATGTCTGGCTTTCTATCACGCGACTTATCGACCAGTCAGAATACGACTTATACAATTTCGCACTATGCCAAACCAATGACGTTCAACCGGTATGAGCAGTTTAGCGTCCTTATTGGTCCTATGTCCTCCTAGCCCTTCCACTTTAGTCCAGAACACAATACCAGCTTCTGTAATATGAATGGAATCGTTTATTTCAGACATACTCGGTTTATATACTCATCAAACAAACCACATCGTACCATAAAATAGAAAACAACATTTGTACAATATTTGACAAGTGAAATAAATATTGGCCAATAGGAAATGCCCATTTAAAGTCCAAGCACGTCATTAGACTTAACATGATAATTATTGAATAACTATACAGTAAGAATATTTATAGAATATTAGTTTATTAACAGTCCTCAGAAGTCACCTGTAACTTAATCTTCACTGGGTTATAACACTTTCAAAGACGTTTTGAGTAAACTATCACATTTTTGGTGTTGATGCTATTCTCTTCTGACCACATCGATCTTGTCTTTTGACTGAATTCGATCTTTCGATTTCTGCAAATTTTCTGTGCTAGTTATATCAGTCTCTGTTCCACCGCGGTTCTACATTATTGTCTTTATTGGTTGATTTATCTCTGATTTATGAATAATTACACATTTTTCTTCATCAACAATAGATGTGTTAACTGTTATAAGTGAAAATGTATTTTTTGAACAAACCATGTAATAATCACTAGGTTGGGACTTTTTGCATTGGTTGTCTCATTTTAATTTCTATATATATTTCAATATGCCTCTGAATTAAAGGCTAATCACTGTTATATTTTAAAATCTGGTCGATTCATGTGGTCTTTTTATATGCTAGACAGAGAAGGGTTGTTAGTCCAGTCGGTGGTGACCAACAAATTGTAACACTAAACCTGAAAGGTCTCACTCTAACTTTGAACAGTAAATTTAACAGATGATAATGCAATCAGCTTTCAGGTAAGTAATCAATAGTAAAAATTATCCATGAAT